GGCGTGCTGCATTTTACATGTTAGGTCAGAGCGAGTTGTTCATGCTAGTGTATGTAGACGATTTGCTCTGGATCAGGCGTGACAAACTGGGCATTGAAAAGATTATCTTGATCATCTACTTCATGACGGTACTGGGTTGGCCTTTTGCTTGGAAAAAAATCAAAGGTGGTGTGGACCTGGCATGGGTCGGGTTTGAAATCAGCTTGAAAGGCAGTAAGCTGGGCCTGTCAGTGGCGCGGTCACAATGGTTGGTCAAGTGGCTCAGTGAAACAGCTGATACAGATCGCGCGCGCGTGGCTGATATGTCGGCAGTGTTGGGCCGGCCACTTGAGGCCGTTTCTTGGGCCGGTGTACGCTTGGACAGCAGCTATGAGTGGGAAGGGGGCAGCTGCCAAAGGCGATCATCCTCATCTTCAAGTTTTTGGCAAAGGCGTTGGCGGGCAGTGGGCGACTGGTTTCAATGCCACCGGCGCCACAAAAGCGAGTCGAGCTTTTCCGGACAGATGCACGCGCCGAAGGCATGAGATCTGGATTGGAGGCTGGGCTTTGGACAGTTCTGACACGAAGCAGTGTAGGTGGTTTTCTGAAAAGCTGTGTCATGCTAACGCCCCGTGGCTTTTTACAGGTGGTGAAGGTTACAGACAGATCGCATCGCTTGAGTTGCTAGCTACCTTGGCCGCAGTCCTTGTGTTTGTGGTGCCTGTAAACATGCGCAGCAAGATGCATTGCTCAGCGGGTACTGACAACAAAGGGAACAGTCATGTAGTGGCACGGCTTCTAACAACAAAGTTTCCCCTTGCAGCCTTCCTGAGCGAACTTGCAATGCAGCTACAGTGCGTAGGCGCAGATCTGGAACTATACTGGCTACCGCGACTTCAGAACCAAGAAGCTGACGCGCTGATGAACGGCTGCGCATGAGGTTTGACTTGTCAACCTTCAAGGGCTTGATACTGTCAGATATGCTGGCATGTGGAACAGAGCTGTGTGAGGAGATCAGGGCAGCGCAGCCGCGCAAAACAGAACGCCATGGACAACGTGGCAGGAAGTCGGACGCCCTCCGGGTAGCGCAGCCATGAGGTTGAAAAAAGAAGGCACGGGGGAGGGCGTGCAGGATTGGAGCCACGTCGCTGGGTTTTCAACATGGGAGTTTTAGGGACAGCAGCGTGGCAGATAACGTTTGACCGTGGTTGGCGGTTGTGTTGAACTGCATGGTTTGATGGTGCAGTGATTTGATCTGCATGGTTTACAGTTGCAGTAATTCTTCCAGCACACCTCCGAATGAAAACAGAGGGCGAGCTCCGGATTGTTCACTAGGGTTTGCCGGGTTAGGACAACATTCCAGTGATGATGGATCCCTTGGTTCAGAGAATCTGAATGAAACGTTTTTACTTATGGACTTATTGGTTGTAACTTGGACTGGGAATACCTGTGCCAGGCTTGCTAGGATCACTGTGCGGCGGTAGGATCCCGCGGGTCAACATGCAGGGGCGAAAAGGGGGATCCGATAGCACCCTTAGGTCGTACGGTTGCCTTGTCTGAGCCCAGTTGTTTTGGGAGCCCTGCCTTTTCGGTGATGATCATTGGTGTAGGTTGGATTCACAATAGTTTCCTTGTGAACGGGGGGTTAAAGCCATTGAGTGACTTTATGATATCATTTTGGGCCTTGTGGTTGCAGGTGTGCAAGTGGGAGTTTAATGTACTTGTTCATTGTGTTTTGCAAGGAACTTCTTTGTTTATCCAATTCCATTTTGGCTCAAGGACTTTCATTTGTGCATTTACATTTTTGTGCATTTACATTTTTGGTTTTTGTCTGCTCAGACAAGCGTTCTCTTTGGGACATGTCTGGCATGCATTTGCATCGGTTTATCGCGTTTATTTCATGTCCTACAGGTATTTTCAGCATTTCTGTTTTTGGGATTCACTGACACCGGGCGGTCCCGGGCGGCATGGACGGAGCGACGGTCTCGGTGTTGTCACTAGAACAGTTGATTACTGCACTTCTCCTCATTGTCAACGAGTTGTGCCATCGATTTCGTATCCCTTTATCTTCAGCATCATCTGTGCCATTACAAACCCCACCTGATTTGGAAAATCCTTCAGGGTCACCCATTCCCAAACGTGGATCTTGTGGTGCAAAGTGTCGCTGGTGTGATTTACCCTGTGGACGTGCAAAGCCTGTTCATACAGGGCATAGTTGCTATACACATCGGCATTGGCGTGATGGATAATTCCATGGATGAATGGTCATTGGTACAGAGTGTTGAGGGTTCATGGGACACGAGTTCAGTGATTTCACCGCCATTGCAATTCAGGCCGAAATCTGCTTCGTTGCAGCATGAACCTCTACCTCAAGGTGGCAATGAGCGCTATTGGGTGCTCGGGACAGTCTTCAGCTCAGCGACATCCAGGTATCCCGAGGGTTTCAGATTTAAATCAGGGGTGTAATGTTCTCCCCCCTCAACAGTTTCCGGTTGATTCCATTCGAATTGTCCCTGGGGTCACTCCTTTGCAGATTCCCCCACAGAATTTACCTGTGATTCAGAGCTGGACGACGTTGCAACAGAATTTTGAACTGCCTCAGCCTCAAGGATGTTTGGGTTATTCAGATTCAGTACCAAGTGATTTTGTGCCTAACCGGCCTATTTCAGCGAAACTGCATCCTCCCAGACGTCAACAAGGGGCTATTAGCAGAGTTCGTTTTTCCAGTGCTTCACCGGTGCTCTGTCAGATGTGGTTTGATTTGTTATCACAGCTGGGCCCACTATCCAGAATTTGGCAAGAGACGAGTATGTCGCAGCATCAAAGTATGCACCTGAACCGAATTTTGGACAATGTGGCACCGGGCACAGCTATGAAATATATTTCCAGTTGCAAGTCTTTTTTCAAGACCTGCAAGGCGTTACAAGTGGATTTGACATCCCTGACAGAGGTTCAATTGGCAGACATTTTAATCACAATGTCATTGTCAAGATCTACATCGCATGGCAGTAGTTCTTGCAGTTCGGTCATCAAAGCGCTTCGATGGCTGATGAAATCCGCAGAGGTCGGATGTTTACAGGTGGTGCATTCAGTTCTTATTGGAACGTTCCTGAACCAGAAGGTGCCCAGGGACAGAAAACAAGCACCTCCTCTGCCTCTGTGGGCTTTGGTGCAGTGGGAGCGTCGGGTGCTCATGTCCAACTGCACTGTATTAGAAGTTATTCTACTTGGTACATTTTTATTGATGGCATGGGGATCCCTTCGTTTCTCCGACGCGCAACGGTTAGACCTCCGAAAGATCATCTATCACGATGATACCATGCGAGGGGTGATATGGCGCTCCAAGACTGCGGTCAGTGGCATGCCCCTAGCGGTGGCGGCGGAGGGCTTCCTCAGCAAAGGCTCCCACAACTGGTTGTGGAAGTTCTTGACAGTTTTAGATGCTGTATTGGCTAAATCAAGCCTATCAGATGTTGATTTTCTTCTTCCATTGATGGACGAAGATGGACCTGTTTATCCATTGCAACCGATGGATTATGCTACAGCGTTATTTTACCTTCGCAATTTTTTGGGTTGCCCTTGGAGTCAACGACCAGACCCCCTGCAGCACTTGAAGTTGAACTTCACTTTGCACTCCCTCAAAGCGACGTTGTTGTCGTGGGGACCACAGCTGCATGAAAAGGTTACCCCTGAACAGCGTTTATCTCAGGGACACCATTCGGATGCCAATAGCAGTTTGGACACATACTCACGTGATGTGGTGTGGACGTCCTTGACGTATCAGCGCAAGATGATACAGGAGGTTCAGGGTGGATGGCGTCCAGCCATTGCACAGCATCGGGGGAGTCAAGCTCCTATGGTTGAACCCAAGGTTGTTTTGGAGAAGTTTGTGAAATCTCTCCAACCGTTTGATTTTCAATGGTTTCAATTCAATGCGTCCACAGAGATACAACCTCCAGATTTTTTGGAGTCATCAGACAGCAGTTCCGATAGTTCATCGGATTCATCGTCGGATGATGAGGTCTTAGAACCCCGACCCAAGACTTCCAAGGTGGATGTTGTGCCTTTGGAGGTAGATGAAGTCCTGGTGGGACGATATCGTTCAGTTGTTCATGCATTGGTGCGTGCCGGCGATGATGAAGATTGGCGTCCTCGATGGCAGGGACAGCCTTTCAAACCAGCCTGTGGGAGGCAAATGCGTGGTGTGGAAGCCGAGATCTTGGATAGACTCGACTCTGCTAGGCCGTTCTGCCAGCATGCAGCGTGCAGGAAGGTTTGGCATACTTGTCAGCTCCTGCAAGGATCTGGATAGGTCCTGTTCCAAGCGGTATGAAAAGTTGTGCGCTTGGAGTTGTTTTCAACGGGTCGGTGACCTGTTGGTTTGCAGTTGGTTTCCCCTGGTAGGGTTAACCAAGTTTTCCTATGTTTTGTAAGTTTTGGTATATTTTCCCCTTTTTCATTTGGGGTATTGTTTTAACTTATTTTTACAGTTGGGGAGGGTCTCCCCCACATGTCAACGGTGTTGACATTGCATTTCAACCGGTGGTTGAAAGGCTACTCACGGTGTGAGTCCAAATGACATTTTGTCATGTTGCGTTCAACCGGTGGTTGACAGTTGACTCACGGTGTGAGTCTCCAAATGACCCGTGGTCATTCAGCGTTTCAACCGGTGGTTGAAGTTTTGCTCACGGTGTGAGCCCAAAATGACCGGTGGTCATTTTAGCGTTTTTCAACCGGTGGTTGAAGTTGTACTCACGGTGTGAGTGAAATGACATTTTGTCATGTTTGCCGTCGGTGATGGCTCTAGTGAACCCGGTGGGTCAACAACCAGTTGTGCAACAAATTGCACTTGTTCGAGGGGTTCCAGTATGGAGTATCCACCCCTCAATTGATTTTTACTCCATGTATGGAGTTATAGTATTTCCGTTTGTTTTGTTTCAGCTTTTTCTTTGTGACCCCCAATTTAAGGGATTATTGTGCTTTTTTCCTGTGGTGCGACGTCCTCTTCACGCGGGATGGCCATGGCGCCTGACAACCTAGAAGATGTTCTGACCAAGAGTGGAGTGGATTCGAATCTCACCAACTCCCTTATGATGGAAGGTTGGACCTCCCAGACATTTCGCGTGGCTGCGGCGGATGCTCAAGGATTTGAGGAAGTTCTACAAGAATGGTCCACCTCGCATCCTTTGTCGACCCTTCAGAAAGCATGTCTACGCACAGCATTTCAGTCTCTTCAACCGCAGCAAGGCACCAGTTCATCGGCTTTCCCGACACCGGCGGTGAACCCACCTTCATCGGCGGGATCTTGGGCAGAGGCATTTCCTCCCAAATTGGAGCATGCAGTATTGGTGGCGATGAAACAAAAATTTATGTCCAACTACCCATCAGAGTTGATCCATGCGGATGTATTCCCTTCTACCAGATTGGTGAGTTTGGTCCATGACCAACTCACTAAGAAAGTTTGGAAATGGGTACCCTGGAAGTTTCGCATCTCGCTCACCAAGTCAGAGGAGATTTCCAGCAATCGTGCCCAGAAGATGCCCAAACTTGATCATCTCGGTCTTCATGCACTACTCTTTGATGATCCCCCGTCTCTGGAGGTGTCAAACAATGCCATGGGAGTGAACTCCATCCACAGCATGCTCGAGGTCCATGATCGAGCTATTGCTTTATGCCAAGGAGCTCATCTACCCAACCTCAAACCTTACACCCATAAATTTCTTAGCTTTTTGACAGCCAAGTACGATGGGGATCTACGCAATCCGAGTATCATGGAGGCTCAGAGTGCGGATCAAAAAATTTGGACGGTCATTGCAGAGCTCATGGAACGTGGATGGACCATGGATGATTGCTTGCATGAAATGACCAACCTACGTCACGACATGCCGAGCCTTCTTCAGCCACGACCTCGTGTACTTAAGGCCCTTCCGTCTCCATCGTCACAGACCTCATCTCCCCGATTGGAAGGATCTAAAGGCAAAGGCCAAGGGAAATCCAAAGGCAAGCAAAGTTCTGGAAAATCCAAGGGGAGGATTCAATGGGTTACAGAGGTTCAAAAGGACGGCGCCTTCAAGCAGATCTGCATGAGGTATCAGGTGGGCAAGTGTCAGAACTCCAACTGTGGCTTCCAGCATGTTTGTGCGTACCCAGTGGATGGAAAGGCTTGCGGCAAGAATCATGGAGCTATGTCGCATTTTGCTATGCCCCACTGACTCCCTGAAGGGGAAGGGGACTCTGTTTCTACCATGCATGACCAGTCGCCAAAGCACGACTTGATGCAGATTCAGCACATACCCACTGTGGACGAAGTTCAAGACTTGGATCCAACAGGGGATCTCTCTACTCCAGGCCGTTTGCCTCACCAAGCACGGGAGACACAGGAAAGTTCAGCCACAGACGTGATCACTTCATCAGCAGGAGCCCCGGCTCCTTCTCCTACAATTCCACACTCAATATCGACATCGGTTTTGACAGACATTCCCAAGGGCAAATTTTTCCTGAATATATGTTCGGGCGTGACACGTCCATTATCAAGAGCTATTCTTGATTGAGGACACCCGGCTCTTTCATTTGACATTTTATTGGATTCTTCAATGGATATTTTAGCGGATGCGGCCTACGAAGATTTATTGAGGGTTGCAGCAAGTGGTCAAGTCGGCTATGGAGCAGCCAGCCCTTCTTGCTGCGAATACAGTAGGCTCAAATTGAGAGATGATGGGGGGCCAAAAGCTTTGCGCTCTCCTGATCACTTGTCAGGCCTGCCCAACCTGACAGCCTGGGAACTCCAAAAGGTCCAAGAAAGCTTTATTATGCTTTCGCGGTGTGTTGAAGTCCTTACACTGGTTTTTCAATCGGGGGGTCATGTCCACTTGGAGCAACCTTTGAATGCCATGTCGTGGCTGGAGAGTGTGGTACGGCAATTTCTTCAACTTATTGGAGCGTCATGCATCAATATTGCAGCATGTGCCTATGATATGGATATATATATATATAAAGCATGGATGTTTGCATCCAGTTTTTCTGGCCTTCGACCCTTGGGATGCATGTGTGAACATCCTCCCAATTCGCATGTTCGTCTCCAAGGTCTACGTGATGAATCAGGTGCATTTGCAAGCAGGGCAACTGCACAATATCCATCTAAATTGGCACAACATTTCGCCACACTGGTGGCACCCTTGTTGCACACTCCTGCTTTTGATTTACAATGGTCCTCTGTGAATACAATCATGCCTATTAAGAGTCTTTCGGACTATCCTTTTGCGCAAATAGATGGAGGTGGAGCTTTTTCACATCCTGACTGGAGTCAGGACCAACGACAAGAACAAGATTGGTTTCATGGTCTTCGCACTTCGTGGATGAGCCGAATCGTTTCATCCCGATTGGACAAAATCCTGATGGCTCATGTGGCGTCGGGCAATCTTCGGTCGCCATTCTCGACCGAGGTACTTAGTCCTTCCAAAGACGATCTGGAGACGTTTTTGATCTCCCATGGACAGCAACCGGATTGTTCGATTCGGAAGCATCAACCTATGCACCTTTGTATTCTTCATTCGTTACAGCGGATCATGCATGATTTTGATTTTACATTAGCCTGTTAGAGGGGGTCAGGACTGGGTTTTCTACAGCCATTCCTCCATCGGGTATTTTTCCACCCAAAGAACGAGCAGACACGGACTCAGAACCTCTTTCTGCGCACCTCTCGAATTGGCAAAGCGCCGAGGAGGACCTGTCCCTCACTCGGGAACTGGTGCAAGAGGAAGTGGATCAAGGCTGGGTCTTTGCGTATCCAGGTTCCTTGGATGAAGCTCAGGCCGAATACCCGGCTGGTGTGGCTATTGGCAAGCTGGGTGTGGCTCGATCAGAGGGTCGCGCTCCTCGGCTGGTCGTAGATTCCAGCGTATGTGGGCTGAATGATCGTTGCATCATTCCTGAAAGGTCTACCTTGCCTACGGCCAAAGAAGTATTACGCAGCTACCCACTCGGCAATAGCCAGAAAGCCTTAACTGGTTTCTCCTTGGATGTCAAAGCAGCCCACAAGAGAATTGTACTACACCCAGAAGAATGTGGACTTGTGGGTTTCTCTCTGGAGGGACAGTTATTCTTTTACAGGGTTACACCTTTTGGTGCAATTTTTTCGGCATTCTGGTGGGCTCGCCTGGGGGGACTCATTCTGCGTATATTTCATCATCTGATCTGGTTGAGTCATGCCGGATTTTTATATGTCGATGATTTTCTCTTTTTTATGGAGGCCAACATGATGCCTTTGTCGGCCACATTGCTGTGTATTTTTTGCCAGCTATTGGGCATTCCCATCAGCTGGAAGAAGACTGCCATGCACTCGTCTATTGACTACATTGGTTGGCGGTTCAACTTCAATGCAGGGATAGTTACGATTCCTACAGAAAAAATCCTCAAACTGCGAGGTTACATCGAACATCTCATTTCCCAACCAAGAACTACCCGCAAGCCCTTGGAGAAATTAATTGGGTTAGCAATGTGGATCACCCAATTGTTTCCTCTGATGAGGATTTGGATTCATTATTGGTATCATGACCTTTACACCATCCCTGCAACACACTTCAGTATTGATGCTGGCACATGGCCTCGAATTCATCAATATTTAACTCCAAATTTGACATTCCATACAACGCCTTTGGGATCAGCTATACCAATTTCTGGCAAACTGATTTCCGTTCGACATCAAACAGTATCATCCTTGGCCGATCTTTCTTCTTTACATATAAAGACAGAAAACAGGATCTGGCTTCGGATTATCAATCCAAATTCATCGAAGCGTAAACTTCGACCTGATTCTCTTCGGGTTCTGAAGTTGTTTGATAATTGGCTGATGGGAGTCCCTCCATCTCGCCCAATGAGAGCAAAACCGTATTGGCACGGAATTGCGGCTGCAGAAGCATGTGCACCTGGCTCCTATTGTCAAATTGGAGGCTTTATTCGCCACCATTCAGGCGTTCAATTTTGGTTTTCAGAAAAATTTTCTCATGCAGATTTTGACACTTTGTCAATTCATTTGGACCCCAATATGCAACGTAGCATAGCATCTTTTGAAACTTTAGCCCAAGTAGCATTGGTATGGTTAGTTGCCACTTCGTTTCCTGGGTTTCGAATTCCTATTTGCTTGAAGTCGTTGAGCGACAACACTGGGGCGGAGAGCGTGAGCAACAAACTATTTACCACAACTCATCCACTATGTCTCTTTGTCGAGATCCTCACCTGCCTGGCTTCGACTACGGGCATTGAACTGGACGTGAGCCATATTCCTGGAGCAGACAATGTTATTGCGGATGATCTGAGCCGATGGGATTTTTCTGCTCCCATACCACATGATTTTCAACCAGGTGAAAGAATTCATCTTTCACTCAGCCAACTTTGGCGCTGTTCACCTCAACCTACTTTACATCCACCGGACTCCAAACTCCTGTGGAAACTCCCGCCTCCCGCATCGCTTTCCTCAGTAATCTGCTGGAATGGTTCTCACTTTGGTGTTTGGGGTGATTTTGGCGATAACCATTATCCCAGATAGTTTTAACTTGGGTTGTTGATGCCATCTGGTCAAATGGTTCGATTGAAGTATGGTCGAACCCAACCTGGTTCAACGGTGAGACAAACCATCCAGCAGATGAAAAGGGAGTGCTTTCTGAGATCGGAAACGAGACAGGGTCAAACGGGAGGATCGAATGCGTTTACGGTTTTTACGTTTTAATTTGTTTGTTTGCGGTGTCTTGATTTTATCGTGTTAACAAATGAAAGTCCTTGAAGAACGTTTAATGTACTTGTTCATTGTGTTTTGCAAGGAACTTCTTTGTTTATCCAATTCCATTTTGGCTCAAGGACTTTCATTTGTGCGTTTACATTTTTGGTTTCCCTCCCTCCCACACCTTGTTCTCAATTTTATTTGTGGGATACTTTGACCTTCTGATCTCAGTGTTTCACCTGGATTTCACAACTTTGATTCGCATGATGCTCTCCTTTCAGGACTTTGAGTCATTGGCGAATATTTGGCGTTGGCGTTTCTGTTTGATCGCTTTTTCTATTTGACGTTCTACTTTGATATGCGTCCTATTCAATGTGTTCGTGACGTTTATGTCACTCTTTGCATTTCTGCACCGTTGGCGACAGTGCACAATCGTGCATTCACTATATTCAATCGACCCGAATGGGTTGTTGATGCCATCTGGTCAAATGGTTCGATTGAAGTATGGTCGAACCCAACCTGGTTCAACGGTGAGACAAACCATCCAGCAGATGAAAAGGGAGTGGTTTCTGAGATCGGAAACGAGACAGGGTCAAACGGGAGGATCGAATGCGTTTACGGTTTTTACGTTTTAATTTGTTTGTTTGCGGTGTCTTGATTTTATCGTGTTAACAAATGAAAGTCCTTGAAGAACTGTGCGGTTCTTTTGGGCAATGGTCCTGGACTATTGTAATGCACTGTTGAGATTGAGTCTCTTGTTTGTCATGGGTTTCATGATGTTGTGATAGAGTTAAGATCTCTATGCTGTCATGAAGGTTCATGATGTCACTGACCACGTGGATTCATGGCAGTTGTGCTAGCTGGCCACTGGCGGTTGTTGTAGCCTAACGGATTGGTTGCGCGATTGGCGTAACGGCTTAGTTGCGCGTTACTTGGTGTTCAGTTTCTTGAGCACCCGTCCGCCCGCCCTGGAGTTTTAGTGACAGCGGCGTGGCAGATAACGTTTGACCGTGGTTGGCGGTTGTGTTGAACTGCATGGTTTGATGGTGCAGTGATTTGATCTGCATGGTTGACAGTTGCAGTAATTCTTCCAGCACACCTCCAAATGAAAACAGAGGGCGAGCTCCGGATTGTTCACTAGGGTTTGCCGGGTTAGGACAACATTCCAGTGATGATGGATCCCTTGATTCGGAGAATCTCAATGAAACGTTTTTACTTACCTGTGCCAGGGTTGCTAGGATCACTGTGCAGTAGGATCCCTTCAAGGGGGGGCTTAAGGGGCGGCTTAAGGGGGGGCTACTACTACTACTACTGCTACTACTACTACTACTACCACCACTACTACTACAACTACAACTACAACTACAACTACTACTACAACAACAACAACAACTACTACTACTACAACTACAACTACTACTACTACTACTACTACTGCTACTACTAGTAGTTGATTAGCACTCAACTCAGGCATCTATGCGCCAACATCGTCGCTTGACGGGCTTCGTTGTGTGCTTGCCGTCTCAGTGGTATAAGACCTTAGTTTGCTGACTGCCGATGTCTCTGTGACGTTCATGAATGCGCCAGTGGAGGCTGACGCCTGTGACTTGGTGTTGCTGCCAGCAAACATCACGATCAACGGATGCCGGGTAATCGCCTGGCTGGGGAAAGCCATGAATTGGCCCTTACTCACAAGCATCAATCACTGCGACCAGGGGTCACTTTTGTCGCATCGCAACCCAGCAATACGGTCTATTGATGAGGTACATTCCCTGCACATCAAATCTAGACGGGTTTGGGTGGGCATCATCGATCCCGCTTCACCACACAGAAAACTGGATGAAGAAGCGTCGGAAACCTTTCAAGTGTGGCTGCCACTCTTGGTTTCGACGCCGTTTTCACTGTCTATGTGTGCCCCTGTGCAGATCCCAGTTCAAGCGACTGCTGACGCGATGGCATCTACAAACCCGGCAGGTCTGGGTGGTGCAGCTTTCTTTCCTGATGAATCGTCAACTTCAACCTGGTTTCAGTTTCGCATCACATTGGAGGAAGCACAGGCGCTCTGGCCCTGGATTGGTGACGACATGCAGAAGCACATCGCAGCATGGGAACTGCTTGCACAGTTCTGACATGTCCACGTGACATTGACGGGTCTGCATCAGTTCTGCCATTCCCCTCCGCAGTCCGAGGGATTCGCGTACCAAAGCTACCTGAGGACAACCTTTTGGGGGTGTGCTTCGGAAAACCTCGGCTTTAGCAGCAAGCTTATTCGAGAGCTTGCGGAGTGTTCCTGCCAGAGCACTAGTCGCAGTGGGGAATTATCGGGTGCTCTGACACTTAGCATCACATCACTTCGTGTCAACGTTTGACAATGATGGAATCATGACCCATCCAATGCACCAGAAACAAGCTCAGCTGGAACCATGACCGGCCTTGGATTTACCCCCGACTGTGCAATTACTGGAAGCAAAAAGGAAATCAATATAAAGTCCGAGTGTTGTGCACTTGTGTTCTCTTTTTCGAAGCGTCGGCAACTGCGTTTTTTGTAGTAAGTTTTATTTATGTAAATTGTACATTTACATAAATACTACTTACCTTACATCACAAAGGTACGCCATATAATTTAATATATAATTATATTGATTGCGAATTAACATTTGAAACTTCCACCACCAGTGTTGAATTAGTCTCAACTGATCCTGGTTTTGTGGAGAAATAAGATGTCACTCTTTTGAAAAAAGATGAAAGCCTTATTTCTCCAAACAAAAATTTGTGAACCCTCACAAATAAGGATCAACAGGAATCTTCTCTGGTTGGTGGTAAACAAACGTTTGCTAAGCGTTGAAACACCAAACCAAATCTGGAAAGCAAACAACTTAACGTTCAACTTTCCAATTTTATTTTCTAAACCTTCGATGTGGCATTAACAATTCCATCAAGGAAACACCACATCCTTCACACGTCACTTCATCGTTTGTAATGCTGTGACTTTTCCCAATCAAGTGGTGGGAGGGCGGGAGTCCCTTTAAAATAAGGGCAATTTTTTCAGTGCTCTTGGTTTGGTCACTGGGCTCTGGTACAATTAGTGTACCAGGTTCGAGTGGCCACGCCCTTAGCACGACGGCGTCGCCATGGTTGATTCTGACCAAGAAGTTGATCCGGGTGTACCTTGGAATCATGGTTCCGATGATGATTCCTCTGAAAGCCTTGAGTGGCCAGACCTTGAATTCTGGAGGCCACGATGGGTTGGCATGTCTCCTAGTGCCATTGCCCATCAGCTTGAACAAGAAGCTTTTCAGAGAATTGATCAGAAAGTGTTGCACCGTATTCGCCATAACAAGGCGCTTCAAGTGCGATGTACTAATCAGTTTCATCTGGACAACCTCATCGAGAAGATCAGATGCACTCATGGCAATGACACAATGTCTCCTGCAACTGGAAATGCAAGCAGTGATGACGAATTTTGGTAGATCACTCAGCATTGCGAACCTGTGGATAACTATTTTCCATCTTTTCTGGAATCATCTTCGCAGTTTGGACACAGTGATTTGCCGTGCATTGATTTTTCGGGCATACAGTATTTCACAGGGGATGTTTCGGGTATGTCCTTTTTCAATTTTAGCTTTGGTATGGCCATTTGCATTTTTTCTTATGGGCAGATGGTTGGAAATTGACCCAAGTACAAGCGAACAGTTTTGCTGGCGCGATCCATCTGGACTGGACGCTGAACGATTTAAAGACTTCTGGGCGTTTACCTGGTTTTGCATGACAACTGATTCACCATCGGCCATTCATTGTTCGTTGGACGCAAATTTTCAGCAGTTTTTCGGCTGGGTCGTGGACTTCATGGCTCTACAAGTGGTTTTGCAGGTTAGTCGAGAGCTTCAACGTTTGAGTGAGTTCCAAGTCCTGCGTGATTGGTTCATTTCTTTGGTGAACAGTCGCGTTGCCCGCAAGATACAGACTGTGAAGAGTTTTCCTCGATGGATCCCAACGTCGACTCATCCTGGCATTGAGGGCAACCTTTACCAGCCGACAAACTCCGGGGATATTGCAGTTTGGGGTCTTTGTAAGACTGTCTGCG